CCAGGCCTCTTTTGCCAGCTCAGATTCTCTTCCCGATCTACTGCAAAGTGAATCTGTCTCAAAAGAATCTTGAGCTCTGACGTGTTTTATTGAGCTCGTGTTTCTGAATTTATTGCATTATTTAGAGATAGTGATGCAACTAGATATAAAGTAATTTGATATTCTGTCTCGGAAGTAGCAGCTTTAGCAAACACTCTCTCCATTAATGTGCTCATTCTTCCACAACTTCATTCATGCTCACTTTTCTTTTATCTACTTTTAAAAAGTGTCCTGTGTGTTTGTTCCTGATTTTCCTGTGCTTTCTGCACATTAGGAGATAGAGATTCAGAGCAAACAGATGAAGGCACAGGTCTGATAAGTCCAAGCCTGTCCCCAAACAAAAGGACGTGAGCCCACTAGGCAGCGGCCAGAACATGCTAAGTGGCCAGATTGTGCCGAGATGTTTGGTCACACTTCGTCTTCGGTTTCTCACCAAACCTCTAAGAGGGCACTTGGTGTCTTGTCAATTTGTAAAAGAAACTCATTTTGTTACGTACGTAATCTGGAGTCAACTATTACCATATAACTGATCGTGTGTCCCCTTTTTAGCCTCTGCATGGCTGGGAAACCCAGTGCTCTATTCTCGGGCATCACACTGTTCACACTTGTGACTGAGTCGGTGGTCTCTTTGCTGTTTCTCATGGGACTGTCCTTGTCAAAGCCACAATCTCCCCTGACAGAACCTACACTTCCTCTCACTGTAATTCTAACTCTTGCAGTTCTATGAGTAAATGGCAGAACTTCACTGAGGATGACTTTGGGTGTTTTTTATTTATTTATTTTTTTTGTCTTTTTTACTGACCGGTAACGGAATCGCAACCCTCGGTGTTGCGCCCGCACCACGCTCAGCCAGTGAGCGGGAACCAGTCTCCACGTGGGATCCGAACCCTCGGTGGGAGTGCTGCCACGCGGCGCACTCTCCAGTACGCCACTGGGCCAGCCCTGACTTTGGGTTTTTAATGAGAACTTTTGGCATGTCAAAAATAGGTAACATAAAAAAAAAAAAAAAAGAAAGAGAGAGAAAAAAATAAGTAACATATTTGATAAAGGAGGGGAAAAAAATCACCATATGTTACCATATCCCAACTAATAACTTGCCTTCAGACCATTTTCTCAGGAACAGTCCTTTCTTTTCTTTAACAAAACTTCTATAAATGTAATAGAGTGGGATCAATTCTGCAAATGGAACTACCAGATTAAATATACGGAAGAACGACTAATTTTGGACATCCTGGAAAATTCTCCTACACAATCTATTGATAGTTGATTTTAACATTAGCATACCTACACTATGCATGATTCAAGATCTGCAAGCAATAAACAAAATAGGCATCCCTCACTTCTCTGCTGCACCCA